TTACAGTCTTTTTAAACTCTGTAGTGCTTCCCATTGTTTACATACTGGAAATATAATCTGGCAATCAAACTGTACCTGAAACATTGGGCAGATGGTGGAAAGGTTCCAGTAAGGGCAGACTTTGCAGAGTGGGCACATCTGATAGTCACCACCACTGGTACAGATCTCCTGCCTGCAGTTTATAAGGGCAACAGAAATAAAAATGAGGAGAAGAAAGCAAATCACCTTTTAGATTTGACATAATTGTGTATTCTGAACTCCTTCGTTTCTCTGGCCTTCCTGTTTCTGTTCCTGAGGTTCCATCTTTGCAAGGATAAGCATGGCTATATTAGGCCACACTTAACAGTGATTGTGCAGAAAACAGCTTCTTGGCATAACAGGAGGTTGGACTGGATGGTCTTTGCAGTTTCTTCTAACACTATGATTCTATGAAAGCCACCATTCTTTCCCTATCTATTTCTCAAGGAGCAAATTCACAAGAGACACTTTGAATCTAGATCTCAAAAATATGATTAGCCAATTTATTTTGTGCCTATTGAAGGGAAAAAAACCGAGAAAACAAAGTTACACCCTACACACAAATATTTGTGTGAAAATCAAATGTTACAAATCTCTATAGATTCACTGTAGATCTCCTGATTATGAGAAAAGAAAGAGAAAGTGAAAAGTTTACACTTACGTAGGGATGTCATTAAATATCATAAAGATGCCTATTATGAAGACCAGTGTTCCTACGACAGCTGCTGGTAGAAGCCACCCAGTGTAGAAACCTAAAGGAAGAGAGGAAAAGGCATCCTAGAATTGCAGAAATAAGTGCATATTACTGACCAAGGATCCATTTTTGTCCTGTAAGAACTTGTTGACAAAAACCTGAAACAATTCTATACCCTCTGACTATCCTGATTTGCCAGTGCCAGATTAATCCTGACTTCCCATCTTTTTAGCAGCTTTTGAAATGTCCCAGTTTCTCTCTCCTCAGTTAACATTAAGAAGGAAAAGCACAATGCCACTGAGGGAATATGCTTTTCTGTCCTGGTTCGGCAGTGATAGTCCTGATTAATCCTCTATCACTCCAGTTTTCAGCTGCTTTTATAATACATTTTAGTATTCCAGTTTTCTCTCCTCTTCTCACTTTCTCTTTTTGTCCACAGCTTATTTCAGTTGCTGCAAACTGAGTTCAAAGTGTAAAAGTAGCTTGAGCTCAATTAACTCAATGTTGGGAAATGAAGAGCGAGAATGTTGCCTTTCAGGCAAAAGCAAATTGCTTTTGTGTTCTTCCCTATTAATAGCGTCCTTGACACTGTGTTTACTATTTTTCAACACTAAAATGTTGGAGGTTGAGACAACAGTTTTCGAGCTACTAAGGAACGCATTCAAAGAGCCTTGTACTCACCAAGCCAGGCAAAGTAGAGAGCAATCTTCTCCCCAAAGTACCTCCGGATGTGGTCCAAAGGCTGATATTTCTTCCATTTACACCATTGGGCCCAATAGTGGAAAAGAATCTGCCTCTGAGTCAACTGAGGGGGGACCATTTCTTCTGATGGTATCTTGTAGGAACCCTTTTGGCAAAGCATTCAATTATATGTGTTATGGACAGTTTTGTTTCATATGTTTTCCATTTTATTTTAACATACCATGTTCTCTTCAAGACTGTAATGCAACAGTGGGCCAACAGTAGCCTGTGGGCTATATGCTAAAAAACCCTAACCCAAATATCCCCAGGATTTTGTTCAGTAAGTACTCAATTGAATGAGATGCAACTGTTGGAAATAGCAACGTTCTTCAAGCCTCCACTAGTGATTTGTTTGTTTATAATTCAGATTGTTTACTGTATTGTGTTTGTGTGTATTGGCATGCAGTTTTCTTTAACTCTATGTTGTGGGAGAGACTGCAGACCATGTGATCAGATCTGGGATTGTTCAGGACTCAGACTCCATTTTAGAAACAGTATGCTTTCAGACACTATTAGGCTTTAAGACTGTACAGAAACCATTAGACTTTCAACGTAGAACTAGGACAGTATGGAAGCGAATACTAGTGAATATTTACCATTAAGGAGAAGGTTGACTCAAGTGCATTTTTAACTCTTCTCAAGGAGATTCTTGATTTTCCCAAAACGCTGGTGAATGCAATTTTCCAAAAGGTTATGGAGATTTCCATTTCCCAAAAGTTTATGGCATCATTTTTCCAAAAGCAACACCTTGCTATGGCCTTTATTTTGGTGCCATTTAATAACACACCAACTTTGGTGACTCCAAGATCAGGCATGTGGATGTGCATAACATGATGTTAAATTATAGTATAGATATAATATATTTGGGAGTGAAGAATTTTGTCCTTTCATTGGAGGTCTCAAGTTTCTCCAGGTCAGAGTCTCACCCACAGTTTTGCATGCACACTCAGTTGGTAATTCATTACAGAAATTGCAGATTATCTGTTGATCACTTTCCTCCATGTTCATGTTGCCATAGGAAAGATATCCCTTTTCTTAAAAAGTGAAATGGGAAGACAGCTTGCCAACTTACATCATGCATTGGGAATGCAGCTGTGAAGACCTCCTCACTCATCAGCCTTTCTATTCCAACCTCTCCTGTTTTGGGGTCACCATATGATGTAGTGGCCAGGATCTCATAGAGCTGAAGGGAAGCAAAGAGAAGTAAAACCAGGTTGTACTAGGACTTCCCTACCTGACACCAATCAGCCACATCATATTATTCCAAGTGTGAATTCTAAGATAAATCTACAAGATCCCCCCTCCAGTATAGTTTATTTATTTATTATTTATTAACTGCATTTGTATACCTCCTTTCTCAGCCCAACAGGTGACTCAAGGTGGTTTATACAATACACAGAAACATTATTGACTATCTAGTCATAATCATTACAAATGTTGGCAAAGAACAGTATGCATACATAAAGAAGTAAGGGAAAATAAACTTTGGGTTCAAAGAATTACAAAATAGCCAGAGGTTATATAAAAAGATGGGCTTTGGAGAAAAAGAGTGGCAACTAGGAGTTTAGATAGATTAATAGGTTGAGGGTATAAAAACATACTGCAAAAATTAAAGAGTAAAATCCTTCTTAGAAATTAGAAACAATGGGATAAAGTTAGGGTCAGGAAGAAACAAGGCTACCATTTCAAAAGCTACAATTTATTTATTTATTTATTTATTTATTTACTTTACTTTACTTGTATACCGCAGTTTCTCAGCCTAACAGGCGACTCAACGCGGTTTACAACAAAGGTACAACAGTCAACAATATACAATTTAAAACCATAAAAGCATAATACACAATCTTGACACAACAATAACAACCCGGTAATTATGAATATTAGCACTTTCTACACCTGACCTCATTGTTTACAATCATTGTTTACAATCTCCACACATTAATGCCCTGCAGAAAAAATGTATGGTACATAGCTATAACTCAGCATTACACTTTATTGAATTAAGTGGATCCCAGTTCACTTCACACATTGAATTAAGTGGATCCCAGTTCACCCAAAACTTATGCCCCAAATCTGTGGATAAGGGGGCTGTACCATAGTAATTATAGTGGTCGGATGGCACAAGATATCAAGTGTGGGAAAGCAGTAAACAAGTCCAACTGGGCACCTATTCCCCTGACATTAAGTCCAGCCATGTCCAACTCTGGGGGGAGGGGGGTGATACTCATCTCCATTTCTAAGCCAAAGAGCCAGTGTTGTCCATAGACATCTCCAAGTTCATGTGGCCAGCATGACTGCATGGAGCACCATTACCTTCCCGCAGAAGCGGTACCTGTTGCTCTACTCACATTTGCATGTTTTCAAACTGCTAGGTTGGCAGAAGCTGGGGGTAACAACAGGGGCTTACCCTGCTCCCTGGATTCGAACCGCCAACCTTTTGGTTGGCAAGGGGAGACTATTACATATTATGAGGAGGGAAACCATGTGGACTGCATATGTTGTCAAACTGCAACTCCCATCAGCCCACATCAGCCCATGGTGGAAACAGCAGTTCCCCAGCATCCTGGGCATACTATTTACAACCTTGGGCTTGTATCAACCTGAGTTTCAGACTTACTATTCTGTGCCGTTGTGTGCTACTGAAGAATGTCTCTTGGTTATTGCTCCCCAGAAACCTGAGAAGAAAATCTTTAATTAAAAAGTGCTGAATGTGAAAATTGGGTTTTAACAAGGATCAGGAGATGCTGAACCAACCCCAGTGTGGAATACTAGTGGCCAACCCCAAATAGTAATCTTCCAGTGAAATATAGATCTTGTTCAAGGGTTGCACAGAGTACCGTAATTTGGTGGAGCAGCCAGGGGCACATTAGCTTTCTCCTAGGATGATTAGCTATGATTGCGGATTCAGGTAGGTAAAGGTAAAGGTTTTCCCCTGACATTAAGCCCAGTCGTGCCCAACTCTGGGTGTTGGTGCTCATCTCAATTTCTAAGCCGAAGAGCCAGCGTTGTTCATAAACACCTCCAAGGTCAAGCAGCCAGCATGACTGCATGGAGCGCCATTACCTTCCCACCGGAGGAGTACCTATTGATCTATTCACATTTGCATGTTTTCGGACTGCTAGGTTGCCAGAAGCTGAGGCTAACAGCAGGAGCTCCCTAGATTTGAACCTGTAACCTTTTGATCAGCAAGTTCATCACTCAGCAGTTTAACCCATTGTGCCACCAAGGCTCAGCGGATTCAGGCACAGAATAATATTTGACTCGTGTGTATATATTCAATTTGAACGTTAAGTCACATGTGGCAGTTATAGTGATCTGCTATCTTTGGCGAGTAGAATGAATTAGGAAAGTGAGGCTGTCATGCACTGCTTAGCCTCAAACAGCAAAATGTTTTGGGTCACACAGCTGATAACTGTAGTTACTAAGCAGTACAATACATAAACATTAATTTGGAAAGAAACAGAAGCTGTGGATGTTTCTGCTGGAGAGATTAAGAGACACATGTCAAGATGTTCAAAGAATCATAGGATTGATGGGAAACACAAAATGGTTGTTTTATTGGAAGAAAAATCCAACACATTTTGGCCTAAGTGTACTCTTAAGGCAATACTTTCATGTGTCCAATAAGGGATTTGAGCATTTCTGATTCAGAAATTTATCAGGTTTGATTCCAAATAGCTCCCTGAAGGAATCCTTAAGAATATACACACGCTGAAATGCGCTGGGCTTTTCCCCACTAAGAAAACCACCAGAATGTGACCATCTTACAGAGCTATTTAACAACAGGAAACAGCCATGTAGCCCACCTAACCTTAACACTATTATATAAAAGGGAATGGACATTATTCATGTTCCGTTGCTAAAGCATCCACAAATGTAGAAACTGGGAAGTATCCAGAGCAGTGGTTCCCAGGCTTTTTTTTTTTACAAGGGGCCACTTGACCAGGGACCACTTTGACCAGGAACCTCTTGGACCACAGACCACTCTCCAACATTGGTATCAAAAGGGTTACAAATCAGTTTTTGGTCAACTATAGATTCAGTTTGGTTATTTGGGGTGCTGATTCCAAAAATTGCATTGGCTAGACCACATCAGCTCTAGTTTCTGATACAGAACATATGCCATCCAGTAGTCGCCATCTGCTCACCCACAGAAAACCATATTTAATAAGCCTCAGCACTATAAGAGTGTTTCGCAAAACCAGTTGCTCTTGTTGCAACGGTGTAGTAACGGTGAGGTCACGGACCATATTTTAGTTCTTGTGGTCCGTGGACCACAGGTTGGGAACCACTGATCCAGAGGAACTAATTTCTCTTTGAGTTCCTCTGGATACTTCCCAGTTTCTCCTTCATTTGTGGATGTTTTAGCAACAGAATATAAAAATCCCCATTCGCTTTTGTATAATATTGTTACGGTTAGGTGGGCTACATGGCTGTTTCCTGTCAAATGATAGATAGCTCTACAAGAGACAATAATACAGTCAGGTTGGAAGCTTAACGTTTTGAAAGGTTTCAGCTGTTTTCTGAGGAAAGAGCCAACAATTATTTATTTACCACATTTATATACCGTCCCTCTCAGCTCAGATGCGACTGCAAGTTGTGGCATTTTATCTATCAGAGTATTGATGAGATAAGGGAAGGAAAACATATACTTTTGGGCATGTGAGCAACAAACGTTTGGGAAGAGAGCAAATCAAGGAACAAAAATATCCATAATCTTACCTATGTAACTTATTTGCCATAAAATGACAGGTATAATAATCCACAGGAAAGTCAGGAACTTCATCATAAAGCAGGTTAGGGATGCCCAGTTTCATCAGAATCCTGTGGGACCAGTTACTGACGTCCTGGTTGGGCACAACCTGGGGACAAAGGCAATAAGAGAAAGAGGCCAGTCTGCATATAAGTGGGAAACAAAGACCACAAATCAGAATTGGGAAATGTTTCTCCTTTTGGGTACAACACTTTATCCGAAACAGTTGTCCCCAATAAGAATAGATGGGGGATCCTGAGAATTTCAGTCCAAAAAAGTAACTTTTCTAACCTCTGCAAACAATGTACATAGGCTGAAGAAGAAGAAGAAAACCAAACTGAATATAATAATAATAATAAAAACGTTATGAGTTAAACCAGTATAATTCATGAGGATTCAGGCCTAGTTATTTCATGTACATAAAGGAATTAACTGCCATTTTTGGGAATGAGGGGGAAAATCTAGCACAAACTTTCATTGTAACAGAAATACAAAACAAAATCTGAAAAGAATCCAAAATCCAAAACACTTCTGATTTTAAACTTTTTAGATAAAGGATACTAAATCTGTAGCCACTTTACATCTCCTTGTGGAGAGAAAAAGCAGTATAACTCATTATTATTATTAATAATAATAATAACAATAATAATAATAATTGCATGTAAAAAGATGGCAATTTATCAGCCAGCTCCTTGTATTGAAAATCATCTTGCTTAATACATATAGCAACTATAGGAAGAAATTAAGAAGCAGCAGCCCATGTACAGCTCACTTGATTTCTTTCTGTCAGTTCAAATCTGAATTAATTGAAATTAAAACATGAGATGGGGGCACTTTTATGAAAAGAACTGTGTTCACACTTGTTAAGTTACTGTTATGCATTCTCTGTGTGGAGTAGAATGTGGTGGTTAGGATGCTGAGGAGGATGTCCAACTGTGCATGCATTACACCGGTACTAAAGCAACCTCACTGTCCACCAATAAGCTACCAAATCAGGTTCAAGGTTCTACTATTAACATATCAGTTCCTAACCAACTGGCATATCTCTTCCTCAATGTTATTTGCATGCAAACAGTAATGTCACTAGAGGAGGCCTTGCAAAGTGCACGTAACCATCACTATAGCCAACCCTGATATAAGCCTTATCCACAGTAGCCTCAGTGTTTTTCCCATTGATACTTTGAAAGGATAAAACATAGCATTGTATTGTTGAAGAGTTTCATGGGCGGAATCACTGGGTTGTAAGTTTTTCGGGCTGTATGGCTATGTTCCAGAAGCATTCTCTCCTGACGTTTTGCCTGCATCTATGGCAGGCATCCTTAGAGGTTGTGAGCTCTCACAACCACTGAGGATGCCTGCCATAAATGCATGTGAAACATCAGGAGATAATGCTTCTAGAACATGACCATACAGCCCGAAAAATTTACAGCATCCCAAAACATGGCATATTTTAGGCACCTTTTCAAGACCTAACGTTCTAATCAAAACACTCACAAACTGACTGCATATTGTTTGAGAACAACATTTCAAGCCTCTGGTTTTAACTGACAGTTGTTTTAATTTGAATAATTAAATGTTTGCACCTCATATGCTTTCTTAAATATGTATTTTATATCACTTTGAGATATAATTATCCACTAGAAAGTTGCATGATAGTTATATATTAAAATATCAGATACAATGCCCTTCCATAGGATAGGAATAACTCGCCCTTCCCACATTTGTTTAGAACAGGACCCAATCTACAAGCAAGTTTGGTCCCATATCTACATATAGCAAATACAAAATGTCCTCACCTGTAAAGGAACCCTCAGCCGCAGATCTTCAGCATAATAACAAAGTACGCTCCAGGGTGCACTTAACAATATAAAGTGTACTAACTTCTTTGTATTTTGGGATACGTGCTAGAAACAAAATAGATAAAAAGCATTAAGCTGAATTCTGCATTGAGTTCCAAATCGGTATATATGCAGCATCGTGTACTTAAACATCCTTGTGTTCTCATAGGGTCCTCTCACACAAAACCATACAACATGATGGTTCCATAGACACCTCCAAGGTAATGTGGCCAGCATGACTGCATGGAGCGCCGTTACAGGAAATAATACTTTCAAACCAGAAACTGAACATTTTGTGACATAGTGTTATCACATTGGAAAATGGAGTCCCCGGTGGCGCAATGGGTTAAACCCTTGTGCCAGCAGGCTTGCTGACCAATAGGTCGGCAGTTTGAATCCGGGGAAAGCGGGTTGAACTCCCTCTATCAGCTCCAGTTCCCTATGCGAAGACATGAGAGAAGCTTCCCACAAGGATGGTAAAGCATCAAACATCCCCTGTACAATGTCCTTGCAGATGACCACTTCTCTCACACCAAGAGCAACTTGCAGTTTTCTGACATGAAAAAAAAATCATATTGGAAAGCCCAGTAACTGGAAGGAACCTCAGGATACAGGGAGAGGGAGGACTTAAGTCCTTCTTTTGCAAAGTCCCTTCGTCCCAGCCAGGTTTTAGCAAGAAGAATCCCACTTGGGGAGATTCCAGCCTGGAAGGACATTTCCTAAGAAGAATTGGCAAGAAAGAGAAAGGGCAAAGTGGTTAATTATGTTCTACAGATGCTATCCTGTCTCTGCAATGCTGATTTTGTTCACAGGGGCATGGACAGCCCTTCCTTCACTGCTAACCTTCTGGTGAAAAGTTACAGGCTATTTCATTTTAGAGGCCATTCAGAACACCCTCAGACCTCAACTGCACTGCCATATAATACAGTTTCAGAATGTATTGTAACTACACTGAACTGCATTATATGGAAGTGTCAGCTTATATAATCCACTGCGATGCAGTTAAACTGCATCCTGAAACTGCGTTATCTGGAAGTGATGGGGTCTCAGTTGCTATATTTTGAGTATTTGCTCTTGCTACTGGTTTTATTTACTTCTTTATTTTTATCCCGCCTTCCTCCCGATGTAGGGACTTCAGGTGGCTTACAGCAAACATGACACAATAGAGTTAAAAACAGAGCAGATGCATTAAAATGTGAATATATATATATATATATATATATATATATATTAAAAACAGTTAAATCTTTTGTGTTTTGGAGTATATAAATATAAAAATACAATTAAAAACTACACAGCTTCCAAATCCCACTGATACAGTACTATCTCCAGCAGACTGCTTCTCATCATTCCTGTTACCTTACTACTCATTGCCTTTATTTTATGTTGGAATGTGCTTTTCATAAATCACGAGAAGTACAAAACATGCAGTTTTAATGTTGTGAGAAAATAATTCCTTAAAGTACAAATCTGTATTTGCATTTGCAACAGTAATATGTCCTATTCATGTGTTGTGTCTTCATAACCGGGGTTTTGAACCAACCACTGGTGCAATTTTGAGCAATGGGACAGTTTAAGAAGCATAGAGGGCCAATGCATGATATGTTTCTGTTTCTGTCTTCTAGAAAATGGCATCTATAACACTAAGATGTTACTGCACAGTTGGAGTCTTGATAGCAGTATACAAAGGCAATAAAAACAGCAATTCTGCTGACTTCCTCCACCCTCAAGAGCGTCCCATAAATGTATCAGTAAACTGAATTACCTTTTCCATTTTGAGCCCTGCCATCTGGAGTTTATTTAGAAACCTCTCTCGCCAGATCCTATGCAACTCCATGGATTTCCTTTGTCTAGATTTTGGTGTCTCGGTGTCTTCACCTTCTCCTTCCAAATTCTGGTGATCAGATTCCCATACAAGGATGAAGTCTGAGATAAAGTGCAGACATATAGTACAGATATTGGTCAGCACGCCAAGAAATAGTTTTCTAAGATCTACAGAGATATTCGTAGGAACACCTCAGCAATTGAGATTCCAAAAGTGGCAGGCTAAAACCCAGAACCTCAAGCCATGGCTGATACCAAATGAGAGACTCCCTCCTGGCACACAGAAGACTTGGAAGGCACTGAACAGACTACGCTCTGGCACCATGAGATGCAGAGCCAACCTTAAGAAAAGGGGTCACAAAGTAGAATCCACGACATGCGAGTGTGGAGGAGAGCAAACCACAGACCACCCATTACAATGCAGTCTGAGCCCTGTGACATGCACAAAGGAGGACCTTCTTATAGCAACACCAGAGGCACTCCAAGTAGTCAGCTACTGGTCAAAGGACATTTAATATAATGCCAAGATTTTTTTAAACTTTGTGATTTTTAAATACATTACAACTGTACCCTCGGTTTGCTTCTGATATGATAATAAATAAAATGTCAGCTGCCTTCTCAGCAACAAGTAATGTGAGAAAGCATTGAGTTACCCAAGTAATCTTCCAAAATCTAGCTAAAGATGAATTTAATTATCATGAAGTCCTACAGAAACAGTAAAAAAGAGACTTTACGTCCTGTGGCTTGAGCCCCCAGGTTTCCTGAATACTATTTATCCTGGTTGTAGGATGCCTGACTCCTTTCTTCCTCTCTGGAGGACAAAGTCCTATTCAAGCCCAGTTTCCTCTCATTGTCTTCCTGGCCATAGTTTTCCAACTTTGCACAAACCGAATACAAATGAACAATTTGACAAAACTCAATGCATATATACAATTTGCAAGTTAGACAAAAAGTGATTTCTAAGAAAAGTGGGAGGGGAGGAGGTAAGATAAACCAACATCTCTTCCAGGAGAGTTCTGCCAGCCTATGCAATGAGTGATTAACAATGTCTTTATTTACCTATCCTGGTTTTCTCATCATTGAAGAGGTTCACAGTGCTCCTTCCAGCATGGCCCAATGGTATCTGTTTATTCGACTAGAAAGATATGAGAAAGCAGATAGGTTCATATTACTCATCCCAGCAGAAATGATTGCGCCCTTCCTTCAAAAAAACAAAAACAAAAAGCAGACAGAAAGGAGTAATTGATCAGTCTGCTTTAATGTCATCAGCATTCAAACAGTAACTTGTATCACTGAGTATTATCTATTCAGCACTACTCAGTATTCCCCAAAAGGTAATATTCTTACAAAGTGAAGTATCTCATAACTAGTCATGTTATAGAATTAGAAGAAGGAAACAGTGTCACTCCAAGGGAGATTGTTGCTTGAAACAGAGCATACACTGCCCTTCTCCCTTTGCCCTTCTCCAAAATACTACTTTACAATAAAGGGAGAACAAGATAGAGCTTATGTGCATATACTACTGGGTATCCACAGTGGAAATTCAAAAATAAGTACTATACATTAAATAGAAGCTAAATACATCTCACCATATTGGAGAACACAATGACCTAGAGACCTAGGGGTCTATTTGGTCTGTCATCCAGATGTTGAGAGTTGATGGGTTACTTCTAAGCTGCTGCTGCTCTTCTCTCGTAGAATTGGTCCTCTTTAAATTGATTTTGGGCAGGACAGCCCTTTAAGTATTTCCTAACAGAAGGCTATCTTCTGTAGAGCATGATAACAGCCAACCTGCTGCTTCCCAATTGGAACTTGCCATAAGACAACACGTCAAAATATGTGACTTGCTCTTCCTCCATCAGAATGGCAGAGACTTATTTGAATAACATCCAAGTCAGGTACAGTAAACATGTAAATTATTCTATTTATCAGTTTCCTGGTACCAGAGAAGAGGAGTGTCTCACTCCAGATCCCAGGTATCCCAGTCCTTGTTGATGAAGTGGTGGGTTGTTCAGTCCTAATATGCTTTCTTTTAATATTGGTCAACTACTTAGACTCAAATAGTAGCCTCCAGGACTGGACCAATACTCCAGAATATAGTCCTATTGCTTTAAGGGGAAGGTACTTTCTCAGGAAATGATTATCAGAAAGCAACTGATGTAAACCAAGTTCTGGGTGTGCTAGTGGGAAGATAAACAAGGCAGGATGTGAAGGCTTTGAATACTACCAAAATTAGACATGCTCTCCAGAGTCCTATACAACCATTGTATATTATGTAACCCCATAACAATGTTGTGTGAATTCTGGCAAGCCACACTTGCCAGTAAGCAGCCACTTGGACTGATGGGACTCTGCTCCCCTGTCAATAGAGAAGTAGCTGCCGGACATTCCCACCCCTTCCAATGAGCATCTCCAGCACAACTGGCAGAAAAATTACCCCATTACAAATCATGTTCATGCCAGAATCACTTGTGCAAAGAAGGTAGGAAAAGGAGGTAGCGGTAGTTGTTTCTTGATCAACAGGGAAATGTGACTACATCAATCCCAGCAGTTGCTTACCAAAACTTAAGAGGACTTTCATGGTCCCATGCATGCATACACAACTGCTACGTATTCAATGGTTTGCTGGAAGAAACCAGTTTCACAAATTATAGTTTCAACTTGGTTTGGTACTATAAATCTTAGTTTATACTATCTACAGTGAGCCTGGACTCAGACATTACAAGAAACTATGGTTAACCTAACGCAGAAGTGGGAGGTCTTTCATCTCTCCAATGTTAGAAGAGGACAGTACACAAGGCCCAAAATAGTTTGATGTTGCACCAGTCATGGGTTGGTATAGAAATGGAAACTATGACCCTCCAGATGTCGTTCATCAGGCTTGCCAATGGCAGCTAAGGTTGAAGAACCACCTGGAGAACCATCCAGTTTGAAACCCCAGCTAAGCATTGCTCCTGAACACAACCAATGTAATTAACACGGTGGCAAACCCAACTTCTACAGACAGCACCAAGCACAACACAGCTACCTCTGGAATAACTGTTTACAGTATCTGTAATACCAGTGTATGCCGAGCACATCAATGCTTAATGATCTCTCTTTATCTTCCCACAACCATACCCAGCATTTTAAATTAATGCCCTGCCCAACTCAACTGTTAGATTTGATATGAGTAACTTCCTTATACAATAGCAGTGTAAGGAATATAGGAATGTGCCCCACTTGGCTGTCTCTCCTGTGGATTGAGAATAAAAGGGAGCTACTGAATTCCCAAGGCTTCTGGTACAAAAATATACTCCAACAAATAAAATAAAATTACAAGAGTTTTATATTGTAGATGAAGACATTTACTTCTAGAAAACCCCTTGAACAATTAGATGAGAAATGCCAGTAAGCTGTCCCACCACAAAAAAGGATGACACACACTAAGGTATCTTCCACAGTTTACAGTCAGACATGGGCAAACTTCAGCTTTCCAGGTGTTTTGGACTTCAAGTCCCACAATTCCTAACAGCCATAAGATGGCTGGGAGTTTGAAAACCAAAACAACTGGAGGAGTCGAAGTTTGCCCATGTTTGATAGTTGTGTAGAGTGCATATTGCTTTTTAGACAGGCTGCAGTCTCTGCATCACATTTTGAAAGAGTTTCTAAGTTCAGAGGGTAAATGCCTTGGCAACAGTAGTCACTGATTAAAGAAAGGATTTCTTGTTGGGAGTTGTAGATGTAAATAAACAGAAGCTTTACCACAGTTTCTGAACCAAGATATACCCTGCAGTATAATAAAGTGTCACTCGGGCTTGTGTAACAAGTAATAGTATCTTTACTTATGTTCAAAAGATCAAACAGGGCAACAATATATACAGCAGTCTCTCTAAATTCACACAGAGAACAGAGGGAATAAACAGTCCTTTTAAACTGTCTTTAAAATATGCTTCATGCTTTAGAAATGATCAGGCTTCAGAGAGTTGGCAGACATTCCTTCTTAGCTATTTCCAGTCAGCGCTCTCTTCACTCTCTGAGGCAAAAATGGCAGTTAAAACCATTTGTCTCAGCAGCAAGCCAGAGATATCAGCCAATCAGAACTCCAGCTCCTGGCATGCTCAGCCAATCAGCTGCCGATACGTCTTTCCAGTCAACCCACCACATCATGGTGTACCCACATTTCTAGCCTTCTATTCTATTTGAGCAGCTATGTGAGACAGTTTACAAAATGCAAAATATAAATTGGTTCAAGCTACCATCAAGACCTCACCAAGTACTACCTTTCTGTGGTGGTGGGTTTGTGTGTTCCTGTGAGGCAAGAGGCTTTGTAGAAAGTAACACTGCCACTCGTAGGGTCTCCCCTGTCGGACAGGCTTTTGCTGAAGAGCCAAATGAAATGTGCCAAACAACATTTTGTAGCAGCAGAAGGGGTTACCCTGTTCCCTCAGAGAGAACAGCAAGGGGAACCAAGGGATGTGTGATCCATAAAAAATTCAAAAGTCACTATAAAACTGGGCAGGGGAGGGGTGGCATTTCATTTCTAAAATGTTTTAAAGTTAGTGAAAAATTGTTACTATAACAAGAGTAATGACATCTTATTACTATAATTGTGCATAATTATTATAACTGGGGAAAATTCAAGGGCTCCTTTCTCCCTCATTTTTATAGCTATTGGGTGTTAAACTCACTACAATGGTATAACACATTTACCAGTATTAGCCCACCAAATTTCAGAATGTTTCACTTATACATGGATTTGGGGGGAATTTTCAAAGTTTTTATAAACAACATTTTAATAAAAAAAGAAAACATGTTCCTAATTCGAAAGTTTGTTTTTGCACCAAAAACTTTGTTAAATGGGTGGATGACTATGTTAAATTGGTGGACTGGAGACTACATGATGTCCCTCATGCAAAGACAAAGATTTTGCAGTTTAATAAACTTTCACCATGCTTTTATGATAGAACCAATTAGGAAATGGCATTTATAACCTAGGGACAGAAATCATAATTTATTGGAACTCTAGCTGGCTACAGAGGGGCAAATCCCTCCCATGCTGAGCAGTACACTGAATTCTGGGAAATGTAGTTTATTCTCTACCATGGGTTTCCTCCCTTCCCAAACTACATTTCCCAGAGTTCTGGTCTGTTCCCAGAAAACACTGCTCCCTCTTTTCCTGCTCCTGATACAGAGACTCCATTAATTTACAGAGGAAAAGCAAGTCCCTAAGACAGCCTTTGGCTTTGCTTTCAGCTTTGCACAGAATATGAAACTGACTTTGGGAGCCTTCCAAGATTTACAAAACTAAAACAAAAAAGCATGGGTTTAAGTTTCAATTTTTAAATTTATGGCATGGACCATTTTTTTCGTGTCAGGAGCGATTTGAGAAACTGCAGTCACTTTTGGTGTGAGAGGATTGACCATCTGCAAGGACGTTGCCCAGGGGACACTCGGATGATTGATGTTTTAGCATCTTTGTGGGAAGCTTCTCTCATGACTCCACATGGGGAGCTGGAGCTAGCAGAGGGAGCTCAACCCGCTCTCCCTGGATTTGAACCACTGACATTGTGCCACCAGGGCTCCAATGAGGGCCATGCCCACGTATCAGATATCGCCTCGTAAGTACGAATTTAACAGATTTAATCTGAATTACAAGGACTAATAAAAATGCACACTTGTCATATTGTGCAGAAGGAGGCAACAATAGCCTCCTTTTGATATCTTTTACTATGACATTTCATTAATCCACAATGGAGCACACTAAATAATTTCAGAAGAAAATTGGCCTGTGCTTTATAGGTTGTGTCAAAACCTTTGCTTGTGATTTTGAAAAAAAAAATGGATAACTTAAATAAATGGGTATGCCACAACATTTGATTTTCCTGATGAGTGAGCTATATATTCAGGACAAGTGTCAGGCTGGAATATGGAGAAATGGAATTGTCTCCAGTTGACCAGAGAGACAGGTAAGGCAGCATTTTCTCACCCTGTCTGTTTAACTTATACACTGTACAAATAAATAAAGCAAAATTAGATTCAGAGGCAGTAACATCAATAATTTAAGATATGCTGATGACATCGCACTACTAGCAGAAAATACTTGGAACAAGTCAAGGAAGAAAGTGCAAAGGCACATTTGACACGGAATATTAAGAAAATAAAAATAACACTCATAAATGTATTGCTGAAGGCTTTCATGGCCGGAATCACTGGATTGTTGTGGGTTTTTCAGGCTAAGTGGTCATGTTCTAGAAGCATTATCTCCTGACATTTTGCCTGCATCTATGGGAGGCATCCTCAGAGGTTATGACCTCACAACCTCTGAGGGTGCCTGCCATAGATGCAGGTGAAATGTCACGAGAGAATACTTCTAGAAAATGGCCACATAGCCTGAAAAACCTACAACAACCCGCAATCACAAATAATTAATTATCAAGATATTCAAACAATGTAAGATTTTCCATACCTCAAGTCAGCCATGAATCAGAATGGAGGCTGCAGGAAGAAATCAGAAGACGAGAACATGGAAGGGCAGCTATGAAGGAACTAGACAAGGTCCTGAAGCTTCAAGATAGATCACTAATAATCAAGTTAGGATTGTCCCTGCCATCTTGTTTGCCATTTCTATGTATGGCTGTGAAAGCTGGAAGAAAAGATAGCTGATAGGAAGAGGGTGAATTCATTTGGAATGTGGTGCTGAAGAAGCATTCCACGGATAATGTGGATTCTTAAAAAGACAAATAAATGGGTCCTAGAGCAAATAAAGCCTTCTGAGATGCTAAGATGACTAAACAGTTGTGCTTTAGCCATATCATAAAAAGACAGGACTCACCAGAAAAACAAAACGAAACAATAATGCTTGGTGAGATAGAAGGCAGCAGGAAAAGAGGAAAACCACATCACAGAAGGATAAACTGAAAAAAGGAAGCCAAAGTCCTGAGTCTGCAAGACCTGAGCAAGACTATTCAAGATAGGGGGATTTGGAGGTCTTCCATTCATAGAGTTGCCATAAATCAGCTTGACAGCAATTAACAACAACAACCCACCTAGACTGAAACTCTGGGTGCTGTTGATCTCTGCCTACATTGTTTAACAGAGCTAAGTAGGTATGTGAATCTTTGTTGGAGAAAGCGGAGCTCCCCAACATCACATCTGTCCTTATTCCATAAATTGACAGAACCCCTAAGCACAACAGTCTTTACAGTGTATCTAAAATATAGCATTATGGAAGTTTAATCATAACTATAACTGCCATGTTTCCATCCAGTGGAATCCAATGGTATCCAGCAGTAGATTTCATTGCTAATCTGGCCTTCAGGAAAAGGTAATTCACAACCATGGTGCTATAGGTGAGAAAATCCTGTCTCACACCTTCTGTCAATGTTTCGATCCTATTGCTGGGGCTAAGAGGCCCAGCATATTCAGTCTTCAGGCAGGGCTATATAGGGAAAGGTATTTCTTATAGCAATAATAATAATAATAATAATAATAATAATAATAATAATAACAATAACAACAACAACAACTGGAAAAGCTGACACGATATGAGGATTTAAAGATCAAACTGCAAAGACTCTGGCACAAACCAGTAAAGGTGGTCCCAGTGGTGATCAGCACACTGGGTGCAGTGCCCAAAGACCTTGGCCTGTACTTAAACACAATTGACGCTGACAAGATTACCATCTGCCAGCTGCAAAAGGCCACCCTACTGGGATCTGCATGCATTATTCACCGATACACCGCACAGTCCTAGACACTTGGGAAGTGTCCAACATGTGATCCAATACAACAGCCAGCAGAGTGATCTTGTTTGCTGTGGACTCATCTTGCTGTGTTTCAAATAACAACTTTATTTTTGCATCCCACCACCATCTCCCTGAAGGAACTAGGGGCGACTTATGCAAGGTGCCTAAAACATGATATGACATAAAATGCAATATAAAATACAATTGAATAAAACATATAAACATGTAACAACAACATAAACCTCAGAATAAAGCAGCATACATCCATCAGTGGCAATAGCTAACATAAACATGGCCAGGCTGTAAACAATAGGACCAGGGAATGGGAAAAGTACATAGCTGGTATTCGACTTTCAAGGCATTTAGTATTAAATTTCATCATTAGCATTTACATTAATACCAGATGTGACCAATGTAGTTTATTTAAGACTAATGCTATATGGTATTATGTAGTATTCTGGTCAGTAATCCATCCACTACATTTTGTATTACCTGCAGACTCTGAAACACCTTCAAGGGCAGATCTGCTTTGAACACATTAAAGTAGTCTAATCAGATGTTTATCAGTGTATGCTGTTATGAGACGACAATTTCGGGGATTCTGTAGGACGGAGCCACAGTAATTACTAGCACCATTATAAAATGATAGGATATAAATTAAACACATTACAGTGGAACCTCTACTAAAGATCATCTTGATTTAACAGCTGTCACTTGGCCTGGGTTTCACTTTGACATAAGCACAGTGTTTTGAATTAAGAGCTAGCACCAGAGGGAGTGCTAGCGTGAGAGTACAGGGCTTTAAGGCTTCAAGGGAGCAGCCTCCGTGCCTTGCGCTCTTGTCCACTTTGGGAGATTACTATCTGCTTGTCCACTTTGAGGAACTGTGAGTTAGTTGATTTTGTGTGGGTTTGATTCCTGGTATGTTTGGCTTCATGAAGAGAGAGAGGGAGAGAGAGTAAGACAGGGAGGCATGCTGGAATGAGTATAGTAGGAAGAAAATGATGCTTCTGCTTCTTTGCTTTGTGCTTCCTTGCCATAACTTTGTGCTTCTATCATTTTAAAGTTGATCTTACTTTTTTATGGTTCCACGTAAATGTGTATTTATATATTATTTGTTATTTTAAAAATAAATTTTCTTATTTAAAAACATATAACAAAAATGGGGGAGGGGGGATACCAGAAGAGATTAATAGCATTTCAGTGGGAAAATTTGCTTTATGATAAAGAGGGTTTTGAGTTAAGAGCTCGGTCACGGAACAAATTAAACTCTGTGGTCAAAATATCACTGCAATTTTGTTTATAGTGCTGCCAAGGAAAAGGGCACAAGGGACTGTCCAAATCAAGGAGTTGAGGAAAGATGAACCTGATATTACCATGCTGAGTTGAGGTTCTCCTTTCTTTGACCCCAGATTACTCCAGGTTGTAGCAGATATACCCAGTATACTATTTGTATTTCTGCTTGTACACGTGTAGGTGCCTGGGAAGCAATTAATTAAGGCAGTTAATTGTTTTCTTACCTGTGGGATCTGAAGAGAGGTCATGGGTAGCCCCCCTGGCCTGTCTTCCACTGAATAATACTCAGATCTTCTGATGCCTAGTGTCTTCTGCTCAGTGTCATCACCTAGGGTTTCATATTCAGACAACTTTATTGTCTTCTCAGGAAATACAACAGTTCCATAAATTGAATCCTTTTGCTCAGAACTCTTCTTTACACTCCCATAACCAAACTCTTGGTGGCTTTCCTCGTTTGTGATCAAGCCGTCATCTTCCTTGTTTTTCCTCCGTTGCATTTTTACTCTTCATGCCACTGGCAGGCAGAATGCCCAGAAGGTTTCCAGCACCTTAGCACTGAGACATCCAAGTATGAAAACCACAAGAGGAGAACTCCACCCCCTTCCTCAGGGGGACACAGGCCACCACGCTTCCTTGTCCAATGTGAATAGGGCAACCGCTGGCAATCTGCTCCCTGTCAAACCAGTCACACTGCTTACAAAGGCAGCAAAGTCTCCCTGTAAATTCACGAAAGACTAGTTAGGAGAGGGGCCTATGGGCAAGTAGTCACTTTTCATGTCTCAGGTCTGTCTGCAAGGAAAACAGGAAGAAAAAAATGACCTCAAGTCACATCCAAAGTAGCTATTATTGCAACAGTAATGTGAGTCTTAAAAATGCAGACTTCGTTTAAAAAAATGCCGTATGGGCTGGGAGAATGAAGGAATTGGCACTGGAGTAGCCAAGATTTCTTCTTTACAGAATGGGCATTTCCTTTCAGTAATTACTAGTCAATCTATTAAACTCAATGCAAATTTACCCTCAAATGTCTAGGAATCTGATAAAAGTCTATTTCATATATCTTTTTTTCACACAGTATTTCAGTCCTTGTTTGCATAGGTTCCCATCCTAACAAAGAGTGCACTTAGATTGCATCTATACCGTAGAATTAATGCAGTTTGATACCACTTTAACTGTCATGGCTCAAAATTATGGAACCGTGAATTGTTGTTTGGTGAGGAATCATCGTTCTTCAGTAAAGAAGGCTAAAGACCTTGTAATCCTACAACACCCATAGTTTGAAGCCACAGCAGTTAAAGTGGTGTCATACTGCATTCATTCCACAGTGTAGATACCCCTTTAGAAGACATGATATTAATTTGGGCAAGTGGGCTTATTAACAAAATGTATTAATAAACGTATTGCTGAGTAACTTATTAGCAGCAGCGTAACCCAGCACCAGTGGCCCAAAGTGATAAAAAGAACAAAAACACACAGACCAATGCTATATCTTCCCTAGGAGGCTTTTCTTTATAGCAAAATAACATGGTTGCACTCTTTACAAGAACAAGGTTTCCATAACACAAATAAAGTTCTTCATACTTCCTTCTTTGCTTCCACACTTATTTCTCATGCAGATAAACAGCTTCACTCTCACAGAGCCTCTTCTCACACTGACCTTACACAGAAGCTTCACACAGCAGCTTTACACACATCAGCCTTCACACTGGAGCTTCACACATGAAGCCTTCTCACACTGAGGCCTACTAACACTGAGGCCTACCACACACTGACACCTCTCTCACACTGAGGCCTACCTCACACTGAGGCATTTCTCCCACTGAGGCCTCTCTCGGATTGAGGTATACTAAGCTACAGGCACACCTGCTAATATTGAACTGCAACTTTTGCTGAGTCATCGTATCAATTTAACCTTTTTGGTGATTGACTCACATTTTTTGTAATTAAAAATACCTAGTTATTTTTTTTTTTAATATTTCTGACAATTAAAACATAGGACAGCAACTTTGGGAGTTTCAAAGAGCAATGTCTGCCTCAGGGGCTTCTGGGCATGGACTGCCCTAAATGTCAAAGCACACACTTTGACATAGCCAGAAGCCTACTTATGGTTTTGAAAAATATATCTTTTTAAAATGTTAAGCAGAGAAGGTGTGTCCTAAAACTTATTTAAAATGTGAATAGCCACCCTTGGAGGCTTCCAGTAGAGGACCTTTTTTTTTGCCAAAATCACACAATCTGGGTAAAGGGCCTCTAAAGCTTCTTTTTTTTTTGGGGGGGGGGGGGGGGTCACACACAGGTCCAGATGAGCACCAGGCTCACCCCAGATGAAATCAAAAGATAAGTCATCTAAGGAAACGTAGATAAATAATTTCTCACATCTCCTTCTGGTTATTACCACATTGTATAACCAAAACTAGGTGGAGATAAATTACTTAAAACTTTCCACTCTTCATTCACTCTCAGACCTCAGGAAGCCACCCTTAAAGGCCCACTGTATTCAGACTGTAATTTAGGGGTAAAGACCGGGCATGGACAAACTTTGGCCCTCCAGGTGCTTTGGACTTCAACTCCCAAAATTCCTAACAGCCTCGGGGCCTTTACTCCCCCCCCCCCCCCCCAGCTGCTTAAGGAAGGAGTCTGAGGCTGTTAGGAATTGTGGGAGTTGGTCCAAAATGATTCTGACCCAACTTACCTGTCAGAACAAATCTCCCCTTATGAACCTTCAAGGACTTTAAGATCATCTGGAGAGGCCTTGCTCTCAGTCCCGCCATAATCACAAGTACGGTTGGCAGGAACGAGAGACAGGGCCTTCTCAGTGGTGGCCCCTCGGCTATGGAGCACCCTTCCTAGGGAGATTAGATCAGCTTCCTCGCTCCTATCATTCCGGAAGAATCTTAAGACATGGCTCTTTGAGCGGGCATTTGAAAATACGGAGTAATGGATATAATAATGGACTAACTATATGGCGGAACTGGACATTGTTTTAATGATTATCGATTTAAGTATGTTTCATTATAATGTTTGATTTTATTGTTGCTGATGTTTTTTATACTGTATATTGTAATTGTGTCCTTGGTGGCATTGAATTCTTGTCTTGTAAACCGCCTCGAGTTGCCAGAAGGCTGAGAGGGGCGGTATAGAAATGTACTAAATAAATAAATAAATAAAACACCTGGTGGGCCGAAGTTTGCCCATGCCTGGGATAGACTGTTATACTGAAATGTCCTGACGTATAGTGTTCCCTCACTTATCACGGGTGTTACGTTACAGGACCACCTGCAATAAGTGAAAATCCGTGAAGTAGAGACGCTATATTTATTTTAATATTATTTTAATATTTATACATTATTTTAGTAGTTATACTCTTTTATAAACACCGGGATTGTGGCGCAGCTGGCTGAGTGTCAGCTGCATTAAGATCACTCTGACCAAAAGGTCATGAGTTTGAAGCCAGCCCGGGTTGGAGTGGGTTTCCAACCAATTGTGTGTAGCCTGTTGTCGACCTTTGCAACCCGAAAGACAGTTGTATCTGTCAAGTAGGAAAATAAGGTACCACTTTAAAGTGTGGGGAGGCTAAATTAACTGATTTATGAGGCCATAAAGAAGACTCCAGCAAAGCATTCCAGCGGGGAAGCATGTGGGGAATGCGGAAGTGCTTCATCAGTGTCGCAGATGGACGATGAAAGTGACAGTTCCCCTGGCGGCCAGAAAAAGTTAAATAGCCTCTGTGTATGTCTGTATATGTTTGTATGTCAAAAATTGGCATTGAATGTTTGCCATATATGTGTACACTGTAATCCGCCCTGAGTCCCCTGTGGGGTGAGAAGGGCAAAATATAAAATGTAAATAAATAAAAATAAATAAAAAAATTATAAACTTAAAATATACCCTGTTTCTGTTTCTCTTCCCACTCGCCTCCTTGTCTGTTTGGTGGCTGTGAAGGAAGGAAGGAAAGGAAGGAAACACTCCTCGCCTTTCTCTTCACCAGGTGAAGGAAGAGAGAATGAAGGAAAGGAAGGAAAGGCCCTTCAAGGCTGGAGAGAAGGAGGGAGGACTGAGGAGGGAAAGCATCTCAGAGAGTGGCAGTGGCAAAACCCCGCAAAACAGCGAAAATACTGCAATATATATTTTAAATTAATATTTATTGAAAAACCGCAAAACAGCGAGTCCGCTAAAAGCGAACCGCAAAGAAGCAAGGAAACACTGTATATCCATTTCAGCTGAATGAGTTACAGCGACATAACCTTATGTAAACTACCCACATTTTGAAATAAACCAAATGCAAGGAGTATTCTAAAAACAGTAACATATCCAACACAGTATTTTTAGCTCTTTTACATTTTGAAATTCAAATTATGCACCTGAATTAGAAACAGAAGAAAGGCAGACAACGTTCAGCCAGTGTTGCAGTTTCCTGAAGTTGCCACTTGGCAGCACAAGCAAGGCTGAAACACAAGGGTGAAGAAGCAGTGAGATCATGTCTGCGCAGGAAGAGTGTAGAAGTGGTACAATAGGATATAGCAGCCATGAGCAAACTTTGGCCCTCCAGGCGTTTTGGACTTCAACTCCCACAATTCCTAACAGCCTCAGGCCCCTTTCTTTCCCCCCTCAGCTGCTTAAGCACTGATGTGCTTAAGCTCTGGTGTAAGAGAATTGGTTGTCTGCAAGGACTTTGTCCAGGGGCTGTCTGGATAGTTGATGTTTTACCATTCTTGTGGGAGACTCCTCTCATGTCCCCGCATGGGGAACAGGAGCTGACAGAGGGAGCTCAACCCGTTCTCCCCGGATTCAAACCATTGACCTGTCAGTCATCACCCCTGCTGGCACAAGGGTTTAACCCATTGAAGTGATATAAGATGCTGGGTGTAACTAGCCATTCACTGTTTGAGTTGGATTCTGAAATGGTTTTAAAAGTATCTCTCCCCTGTACTCCCAGTTAGAATAGTTTCATGAATTGTCCCTGATATTTGGGGCATAGTTTAATTGTTCAGATTTTGGTGATTGAGATGGGATGCTTATTTTGTATATGCAGCTGCAAATGAGTTATTGTAGTGCTACTGGTCTTCAGGTCTGGGACACTGAGGCCTGTATTGCAGATTTGTGCATGGGATCCATTCTTGAACTGCTTATGAAAAGGAATGAAGCTTAGGCTATACAGTAGGAACCTCATATTTGTAGGGGATGCATTCCCAGATTTCACATGGATAAAAAAGAAACAACAGCCAGTGGATAATATCAAACCCTATTGAAATTAATAATTTGAAACGAAGCATGCCAAAGAATCACTCTGGAGGTCCTAGAAATGCCTACAGAACATATTAGTTTGAACATGCATAAATTAAATTGTGTATATTGGTTCTATAAATATGGGAGTTGAACTATAAAGGCAAGGAATTAAACCCAGGTTCTCACCTGATCCTTCCAAGGGTATTGGCAAAATTTCCTTTGAGGACAATGGTGTAAGAGGAGTACAGAGAGATTGAAAGGCTGTGACAGTGGAGCAGCCAACAGACATGAAAACCCACATATAGATATCTGGCACAAATAACTTTGCCTTCTTCCAATGTACAACATGCTGTATTACAGAAGTGCTGGTTTGGAATGTACCTGGTAATAGTGATGGGATTATGGCATCCACGCTTTCTTTCCTTCTGTAGAGTCACCATTGGATGGCAGTTCCATTTCACCGATCCCTGAGAGAGTCCAAGGCAGCACA